GACGGCAAGGACATCAACCCGGAAAAGGGTTAAATTAAGCCCAAAGCCCTTTTTTATTATTAGACGGAGGGCGGGCTCCCCGCTTTTTGAGGGTACTCTCACGGCTTTTCACCGACCTTGACCCACAACAAAGCGCCGCAACCTTGACATTGGATCGCTCTGCTTTCCCTGTGCTCCTTTGCCTCTTTTTTATTTATTTCATTTTGGCCTTTTTCCCAGCCCTCTTGGCTTGGATTTCAATGAAGGTGCCGCAGGCGTGTCCCGTTCGGAACAGCAACAGCAACAGCAACAGTGGCAGTGGCAGTGGCAGCAACAGTTGCGTGGCCGCTTTCAGCGCTTTCATTGTTCGACTTAAGACCCACACGGTATAGCCCGCTCCGTCCGTCCGTCCGTCTCTTTGGCCTTTCATAAACGGAAAAACGAGACGGTAAGGGGGCGGGGGCAGCGGGCGGCAGCAGGGGAAGTGCCAAGCCAGAAGGACAGCAGCGACAGCAGGACAGAGCCACCGCAGACAGGTTGCCCCGGCTCACGAGCTGCGTGTGCCAAAAGTCGCTCTGTCGCCGTCTCCTCTTACAGTTTGGGACACCAGCCAATGCACTGGGAGAAGCGCTCGAAAATATAGTGTGCATAAGTTGCAAAAAGGGAAACTAAATAATTAATAAAGTATAATTGTTGCTACACCATTGTCATCATGCTTCATATCTACACCTTCTCTCCACTAGCATCCACAGCGTCCACTTTTACTCGCTTTTTCTCCCTGTGCAGCAAGTGTTGCTGCTGGGTAGCTGTTGCTGTTCCTGGTGTTGCCGGTGTTGCCGGTGCCTCCAATGCGGACAGTTGGACGACAAATTGTCTGCCTGCCGCCTGCTGCTGCTGCTGCTGCTGCTGCCTCTTGCAACTCTTGATGGTGGTGCTGGTGGTGCTGCTGATGCCACGGGCCGTGGGTCTGCTTCTCTGTTTTTTACGAGCTGTTTGTAAGCTCTTGTATCGCCATCGCACGTAGGAGTCCCCTTGGTGTTTCATGTTGCGGCTGCTGCGGCTGCTGCTGCTGCCGTAGATGTTGCTGCTGTCACGGCTGGTGGTACTGTGCCACTGAGGTAGCCATGCCAGCCATGCCAGCCATGCCAGCCGACTTGGCGCCGACATGTTGGCATTTACGATTATGTCTGGCCCACAGACTGCAACTTCTGTTTGTTTTGGTTTTTTTCCCGCCTTGCTTTTTCCTTGAGTGATGGCCAAGGTGTGGCCAAAGTCTTAAAAAGCCTTCGCTTTGACATTGGCCAGCAGAGGAGCGCGGAACCCGTTGAGCGGCTTTTCAACGGGCGCCGCCTAATTAGACGTTAAGTGCACGAGTCGGCTGCCAATTGGAGTGGCCCCTCCTCAGCCCAAAGCCCCCAGCCCCAGCCCCTGTCCCCCCTTTGGCGTGCCATGTCCATGTCCAAACATTGTGACAGCCCGATTGCATCGCCCGGCATGTGTTGACTAATTGCCAGGGGCGCTGGACTGTGGTCGCTGGTCGCTGGTCGGTGGTCGGCGTCGGTAGCTGGATGGGATGGCCCCATTCCCAGCTAGAAAAACGCCAGCGCCATAAAAAACAAGAACGGTGGGTGGTGCTTGGTGGTTGGTGGTGCAGGGGTGTAGGTTTGGAAAAAATGCATCGCGAATGTGCAGAACACCAAGCTACAAAGTTGGAGTGAATAATATGATTCGCAGTCAGTGATTTCCATAGCGAAAAGTTTTCTAAGACACCCTTTTCTCATAAATTAAAATATTCTCGAAAAGAACCCCTCATAATTGTTCTTGCTATTATTGACTAATGACTCTAGATGGTTTTCCTTTCCAGAGAAACCCACTTCCTGCAGCATAGTGTTGTCCCCATTGGCCGGGATGACAAACCCCAGCCGCATTCCACATTTAAGCCCATGTATATGCAGATTTGCAGCCAGATGGGAGAGGATAAAAACCTGGCTAAAAAGCGGGCGAGTGTGGGAAGTGCAACAAGTCGCTGTCGCTGATGTTGCCGTTGGCCAAAGGACCGACGCCGACATGGCGACCCTGAATCGCCTGTGGAGCTGCGGAGCTGCGGAGCCATCAAAGCCAAAAGCCCGACTCGACGCGGCACGGCTCCATTTCAACCCAATGCGACCCAATCCGCGACCCGGCTGGACTGAACAATGGCCAACTGGCTGACTGGCGGGCCAAAAATGTTGGTAACTGCACGCAAACATGAACATGAAGGCCACAAGGTGCACGGCAAAAAGGCAGTATTTGCTGGATTTGCTAACTATTGGCTTGGATTGGACCATTAACCAATCTAGAATTTATTACAAATGTACGAGTATACTACGTTTCGTAACACTTGTAAGATATGATACTGTGATATCTTCGATAACTATTTTTTAATTTAGAATTTTTGACCGAAAGGCTATCCACATTTTTCCGAGTGCAGACTGCGATGCCCAGGTCCGCGTTGCAGGCGTCAAAGCGTGCCGCCACAGGAGTTTCGTGGAGTGGAGTTTTTCGGGCAGGAGCGCACTGGCCCCGACCATGGAAATGTTGCAGCTTTCCGGGCTCGTCCTTGGCCAAATCCCAAATCCCAGGCCCGTGTGCCGTCAATGGATTTGCCTTTGCCGCTGCCTCTATTACTCTTCTTTTTTTTCATTTGTCCTATCGCACGGTGAAAGGTCGCGAGTGGAATGGAGGATTTCCTGGCAAATGCAACGCGACCTGAATTCGGGGGCAACAGCAAAGAGAAAAATGAAGTAGTGGCCGTAGCCGCGTTTCTGTTTCTGTGTCCGTGTCACTGGGCCACCAAAACTTCACTTCACTTTCCCCCTTTGGAAAATTTTGCGAAGGAAAACTTCGCAAGTGTTGCAATCGGCGAGGGAAAATCAAGAGGCAAAGACAGAGGGCTGACGCAAAACTTGAGCAAATTTCTAGTGTTTTTCCCCCCGTCACTGCAGCTTGGAAAATGCGCAGGCAAAGGACCAGGACAACCTGTTGCCGTCTAGCTGATTTTATGGCCAGCGGTGCCACACGTGATTCACATCCAGCTGGATGGGGATGTCTGGTTGGGTTTTTATGTGTGCCACCACGGGGAGTCTCCAAGTAGCAGTCGCAGTCTCAGGCGCTGTGACGACATAATCAACGCTCCATTGGAGGATACTCGCCTCCAGACGCAGCTGTTGCCACAAGCCACTTGCCAAACAAATCGTTGGCTTAGACGAATGGCAAGGGGATGACACTCCACTCCACTCCACTCCACATAAAGTGACGTGAGTGATGAGCCAGAAGGAGGAGAGCTGCTGCCACACGGGTAACTCGGTGGTTGGAAGAAGATGTAATCATGAATGAAACTCATTACGGAGTCACAAGCTTAAAAAGTGCGAGGAAGTCGTTAGGAATGTGTTATTAAATTGAGATGAGTTACCTTGCAAGTGTCTTATTGTCGCAAAGTTGGTAAAGTTACAACGAAGCTGTCAGTAAAATATACATGTATCGTACTATATCTGCTACTACGTGCATATCGATGGTTCCTAGAAATCTGAGAAAGCCTTATCATTTTCCTGTGAATATGATTACCATCACTGTCTCCAGTGGTATCCCTCATTTAAATGCCCCTGCAACCAAACCACAAGCCCGTTGTGACAGCCACTCACTGTATTACGTAACATTCATTGACTGTATTAGCTTGTGTCATGTTTTTACGACGTTCCCGACCTTGAAATCGCAACGACATGGGAGGACTGACGCCGAGGACTGTTGCGTGAGCTGCTGAAAGGGAAATCCCCTGTCCCATCAAAGGTCAAAGTCACTGGCAGTGGCAGTGGCAGTGGCAGCCAGTGGCGCTTTCCCGGGTTTACCCCAAGAAAGGCAAAGTCAGTGAGTCCCCAGTCCCGTGGAGAGTTTCCCAGCGCAACGGATGCGGAGATGGGAAAAAGGCAAGAGAGACCCAGACCCAGACCAAGACCCAGACCCAGACCCCAACCCAGACCCTTGTCGTGGCAACAATAAGTAGCTGGGTAGCTATCCTCTGGGCTGCGGGCCCTCGGCTCTGGGCTGTTGGCTGTTGGCTCCTGGGTCTTTTGCCTCTGGTTTCTGGCTGCTACGTGCGGCTTGTGGCTGCCACATCCACATCCACATCCACAATAGCACAAGTGGCACAAGCCCGCCGTTGAGCAAGTCAACACGGCGGCACAACTTTGTCTGCCCCGTTCGCCGGCTGTTATTTTTTCCTTTCGTTCTACTGCCAGGTTTTTATGGTGGTGACCCCCAGCTACGTGCGGTTGGTGGCCTGCGGCGGAGATTATGTCTGGGATGTCTGCGATGTCGGGATGTCTGGGATGTCGGGATGTCGGGGATTCTCTGCTGCCGGTGCCGTGGCTGGGTACGCCACTTTGACTGGATCTGGGACTGGGACTGGGATTGGCTTTCGGGGAAGCCGACCGACCTGGATAGCTATGACTACGCTGCACTCAGAACAATTCTCTTATTTGAAGTATTTGACTTTGCAAAGTCACGTGTTTCTTAAATGTACTATTTAAAATGTGGTATAGTAATACCTTGCAGGGTAAGTAGTAAAGTAGAAATCCCATTCAGTAATATAAAACCGAAAATGGACAGAAAATTGATTTGGACCTCTATATAAAGCAGAGTACTCTTTTCTCCCAGTGCATTGGCCTGAACAAACAAGGCAAGTGGCGACGGGCGTGATGACGTGGAAAACGTTGTTGCGGCATGCCGTTAAAAAAGTCTGGTGGTCCGAGAAGGGGTCAGGGTATCTGGGTATGTGGGATCTGGGATCTGGGGCTTGCCGTTCGGGGTCTCGATGTGGATGAGGGTCTGGCTCGGAGTATGGGGAATGGGCCTGGGCAATCCCTCGACCGCAGACAGTCTGTCTGCCAGTGTCGTCGCGTGACTTAATTAGCTCCCATGAATAAAATGCGGCTGGGTAGGCAATGCCTTCGGTTTGGCAATAAAGTCAAAGTGACGTCACTTACCCCAGTTGTTGGTGTTCCATTGCCGGCGGCGATACCTGTGGCGTTAACCGAACTATTTCCGGAACCAGACGACTTTCCCTTGCCGCGGCCGCGTTTCGAATCGGGTCGAACGGGCTGACCATCGGCGCCGAACACGATCTGAAAGAAAAAGGGTATTTGAATTTATTTATAATGTATTTTAGAGTCACTATCTAATAGTTAATGTATTCCAAGCTGTCAGGATGGCTGTATACGTGTAGCTCTATTTTTCCACATTTACCGCAAACATAAATATTTTGAAAATCGACTCGAATATATTTACCTAGTGTACTTATATTATTTCAATGAGGTATTCCACATACGATTGAAAATGAGTAAGGATATATATATAAATCTAGATATGCGGAGTAAACTATTTGGACACAAACCAAACTTGGCTTTGCCTTTCACCCGGTAGAGGGCGCCACTGCTGTCGAGTCATTTTACATTTACGTGAACGACCATCTGGCGGCAAAGCTTGGAACTCTTTATGTAGTTTAAGGCGACGGCTAGATGGCGCTCCATGTAAAATGAATGTAGAATTGCCAAAGGCTTATAAATTAATTCCATGCAATTTCAATAAGAAATGCTTAATTGAAGGTTTTAAGAATAACACAATAATTAACACAAGTACATAATTAATTTTTAAGACTATATGAGAGTAGCATAAAAACTCAGGCCTTTGGCATATCGTCTTTTCGTATTGGAGTAATTTAGCTTCTAGAAATCATAAGTTTTGTGAGGGTATCAAGATTAGCAGTAATTAACAGATAACGAAAAGGGAAATGAATCAGCCGTAACTTTTCTTGAAAATCGATGAAATTAAAATAGCCTTACCTGTCTATGAAATCGTTTCCATTAATTGATTCCTACAAAACAGGAACTGCGTACATTGAATCCCAAGAATATATTTTCTTCACTCACAGGCGCAAAACTACGCATTTGAATAATGACATTGAGCCACAGAGGAAACTGGCTGCCAAATTAAATTACTTAAGAGTACAAGGAAACATATGGAAATCGAAACCATAGATAATTCCAATAGGCATGAAGCAGGCTGCAAGTAAACCGCCTGTTGGACCAAATTCCGAATCTATTTCCGGCGCAGGGTCATAAATATCAGAGCCGTGGAAAAAAGAGCCTGAGACGCGATCGGGTCTCAGAAGAACCATTAGGCAAAGTGCTGGGAAAGCGGAGAACCGAACGGTAAAGTTGGAAAACTAAAATTGAAAATGTAAATGATGGATGCACATTTGAGTGTGTGCGCAGGCGTGCCCAGCTCCACATTGCTACCAAAATAGATCGACGAGGGCCACGGGAAGCGGCGGGGCCGACATATGGATCCAAATCGGATCCAGACAGCTTCGCAGGAGAGCCTGCGGAATGCCCTTGTCTGAGTCTTTTCGGTGGCTGATTGACAGCCGCTGCATCTTAACGGTAAGTAAGCGACGCCATCACAGACACTGGAAGAAAATTTGGGAGCGTGCTCTAGCTTGGGCTTCTTCCCATGTAAAAACTTAGACAGGAGTATTGAAAATGCAGTTAAAAGCGTATGTTCATCTCATCGTCTTTGATAATTGTTCTATAGCAACTAAGATGGCATTTTTCTCAGTGACCTCTTTCCTCCCCAAGCCAACCCCAAGCGCTATATGTACACCACGGCCATCTCAATCGCCAAGCTGCATTTACATTGTTGGCACGCGCAGGCGCGCACACATGTTGCAAGAACGTCAACCTTTTGGGGGCGATCAGTGCACTGGGAACTGGGAACTGGGAACGGGAGTCTGGAATCGGGGATCCGGGGAACTGGGAACGAAATGCGTCTGCGTACAGGGCTCTTTTCAATTTTAGCAGCAGTTGTCATTTCGGAAGCAATTATTTTAATGCACAGCCAAAGTAAGAGTCACACAGTCGCAGTTGAGAGCGTGCCAGTTGCAGCCCCCCAATGATGAAAAGACTGCCACAAGATTGGAAATGGAAGATGGAAGATGGAGACTGGATGTCACTGGGACTGGGGATTGCTGTGGAGTCTGGTATCTGGTATCTGGGATTACTGCGAGTTGGGGTTGCACTCGGTGGCGTCTAAATTTAGTTGCTGCCTTCGGGCGTTGTTGAGGTGTTTTCGGGTGAAACCGATACGACAAAGTTACGTAGAGTGTGGAATCGGTACAGTTGCGCACGGCACGAATAAGTATTTCGAGTTTAAAGTGGAGGAAAATACTTTAGAGGTGAATCTGAACGATTCCCAAAGTGGAAATCCACTTTACACGTTGTACTTAAGACTTATGTTTTGTAGAGCTCACGTACATCTTAAGACCATGGTTTTTAGTGGATTGCTTAAAGAATTATACTTCGGAAACTTAGATTTTTTGCATCAGAACAATAAGTCTTTCGAAGGGGTTAAATTAGCTTATAAATCATTTTGAATAATCATCCTTGACTTAATTGGTGAGAAAAAGGAAAATGTCCAAGTGATTACAAACTTGTTAATAAAGAACACAAAACAGATTTGCAACACACAATATCATCAGCACATTTACTAATAACATTAAGTCAATAAAATCGGCGCCAATCAAGCCATTCAATCTTCCCACCAAAGCTGGATGAATGTATACAATCGACAATCGACTTTAAGAAGCCCCAAAAAGGCCGTAAAAACAAGGCCAACGACCTGCAGAAATAGGGCCAAAAGTAGGCAACCCAGAAAGCACACAAGGAATCGTAAAAAAATGAAACAGCCCTGCAGACGAAGAAAGAAAAACACATGCATAAAATCCTGAGATGAAAGCTTCGTCATTTCCTCGCCAACAAAAAATCGATGACAGTTTATGAGCCTCGAAAAAGAAACCTTCTTTAAATCAATTTTTTCATAGCTTCCTGTTGAAAGGTTCCTGGAGCCTGCCCTTTTCAATTAAGTGCAGTGTGTGTTTTTTGTTGTGCCGACTTTATTAGCGCCAACAATGGGAAAACACAAAACGCATGTCGACTTAATTGGGGCTATTAGTTTTTATTAAACGGAAGGCAGGTGGCAGCTGCTGCGCTGCCATAATGAGCCGCTCAAAAAGCCCGCCGGTGATTCGCTTGTACAGTGGACAAACGGGGGGCGGGGTTCTGCTCCTGGGGCTCTCGTAACGACGGGAGCCGAGCAACAGGTAGCCCCCATTTCGAATTTGAGTTAACCGCAGAATGGGCCACACGCACACCGCACAAATGGGCCAAAAGGCGAGCACTGACCTAGGCCAATTGGGTTTGTGGTAGGATCCGGATCCCAGCCACATCGGAAAAGCCGGCGGGGAGGGCTCGCTTTTTATGACACAATTTTTTTTGGGGGCGAAGCCACTGGAGTATAACCACAACAACAACAGCAACCCCTCGGCATTTCCTACCCCTCCTAATGAGCCATAAAAAGTTTGGTTTATGTGTGCGCCAGAGTTTTGGCAACCCTTCGTGCGGGCTGAAGTATTGTAAAGCTCCTACATCGCCCCACTCAAGAGCTCCAATTTGGGCTGACACTGCGGGAAATAGGCGGCAATGAAATATAGTTCCCTTGATTCCCTATCAGCAGGGCATCTTAGCTTCACAGCAAGCATTAAGAAACAACCTTTATTGTTGGTAAAGTACCTAAAATAAATTCTTTATCTGCAGTGGAATGTTTTCATTCGACCTGAGGTCACCTGAATATTCAGAGCAAGCCAAAAGTTAGAGTGGCACACCCTAATCCCAATTCCCAATTCCCAGCCTTGACCTGTGTCAAACTAAAGCCTTAATTACTTCCGCGCCAAGGACAACCCTTTTTTGGGAGAAGTCAGCCTCCGGGAAGCGACATCGATTTTCGTAGGCAAAGCATTTCAAGGTTGTCGCACCCAGAAACCCCTAACATTCGCCACCTTGAGCCCTGTTTATTTTGATTATCACTTTCGTGGGGGAGGCGAGAGCTTCCTGATTAGCCCGGCGTCCTTGAAGTCGGCCGCAAATTGTGTCTGGAGAAATCCTGGACGAGGACGACGATGCGGACGAGGACGGGCCGACGATGATGATGATTCACCAGGGCCAAGGCCTGTTGGATTTGCTTTTTATGGCTTATATCCCATTTTGATTGCGGCTGTCAGACTTTTCTCTTTCTCTTCTGGTTTTTCGGGGGTTGACTTCCTGCATATACACGTCCATATACTCGTACATTTGTACTTTTGGACGAGGGTGAGTTTCGTTTCATTTGGCATTGTAATTGCAGCCACCCCTATATGTATTATGTATCTGGATAGCCGCATACATACCTACATAGCTGCTTTCTCTGGGGGGCGAGATGCGTCATCCGACGATTTGTTACACGTAATTTAGATGCGAAATTTTCAATGTCAACCTTCCCCTGTCCACGACTTCGGTGTGCGCCCCCTTGAGATGTAACCGTTTTGATATGTGCTAAAAAGCTCACTTCACAAATTTATCAAGGTCAAGTTCAGCAGGGGGAGCGCTCATTGTTTGTTGGGGTAGCGTAAAAAGCGGAAAAAGCGGAAAAGCATCAGCCAAAGTCACAGGCCACAAAATGAGTGATAAAAGGGGTAAAGCACAACAAAGGGCATTCGGTTGCCTTGTGACACAATTCGAGGGTCTGGCTCTGGATGGGTTTGGGTTCATTATGACCGCCAAGATGGGGGAGCCAGCATCGGAATCTCCGTGTTAATTGAGCGGCTTATGCCAATGCAAAGCAATTGAAGTGCGAAACAATCGTGCCAAGGTGAAGCCAGAATTCAAAGGGAATTCTGGAGTGCAGGGATAAAGGAACTGAGTTTCAGATCTATTATGAACATATCTGTGGGATTTATTGACTCCTTCTCTGGTTATTAAGCCCCTGCTATAGGTTTGAACTATTGCACATAAAATAGCTTAGGTAAACCATGTTCACATCAATTACAAAACTTAATAAACACAGAGCGACATATAAATACTAATTACCAGGCGCTTGTTATTAAAATTGAAAACTTTCCCAATCAAGCGGACCACCTCGCTGCCCAATAATCAAGGACAGCTGTGCCATTTGGCGAATATACCCAGGAGAGCAAAAGGACAAAAGAACCGAACTTAATTAGTTATATTCGAATTGGTTGGGATTGCAGATGCGT